ATTTATTTATTTTATAGAGAGAGATCACAAGTAGACAGAGAGGCAGGCAGAGAGAGGGAGGGAAGCAGGCTCCCCGCTGAGCAGAGAGCCCGATGCGGGGCTCGATCCCAGGACCCTGGCATCACGTCCTGAGCCGAAGGCAGTGGCTTAACACACCGAGCCACCTAGGCACCCCATTTCTCCATCTTTTTTGTTTTGTTTTGTTTTGTTTTAGAGTTAGACAAGCCTAGATTTTCTACTTTTAAGTCAAAATATATTTAACATTTGATATTAGTTCCAGGTGTATTATATAATGACTTGACAATTATATACATTAGGCAGTGCTTGTCACGATAAGTGTAGTCACCATCAGTCACCCTACAAAGTTATTACAATATTAATGATTGTATTCCCTAGGCTGTAGTTTTCACCTTCATGACTTATTTATTTTATAGCTAGAAGCTTGTACCTCTTAATCGCCTGTACCTCCCCTCCTGCAACCATCAGTTTTTTCTCTGTACTTATGGATCTGTTTCTGCTTTTTGTTTATTCATTTTTTTTTAGATTCCACCTATAAGTGAAATCATGTGGCATTTGTCTTTCTCCATCTGAATTATTTCACTTAGCATGATACCTTCCAGGTCCATCATGTTGTTGCAAATAGCAAGAGCTCATCCTTTTTTATGGTTGCGTAGTATTCCACTGTGCATGCACGTGTGTGTGTGTGCATGTGTGTGTGCATGCTCAAACGTGTACACTACATTTTCTTTATTCATTTATGGATGGACACTTGGGTCACTTGCATTATTTGGCTATTGTAACTAGAGCTGAAATATACATAAGGGCGTATATATCTTTTCAAATTGGTGTTTTCATTTTCTGTGGGTAAATACCTAAAAGTAGAATTACTGGGTCATCGGAACCTCCATGCTGTTTCCAGAGTGGCTGCACCAGCTTGCATTCCCACCAACACTGCAAGAGGGTTCCCCTTTCTCTGCATCCTTGCCAGCACCTCACCAGCACTCTGTTCTCACTGGTCTGAGGTAGTATCTCATTGTGATTTGATTTGTGTTTCCCTGATGATGAGTGATGTTGAGCATCTTTTCATGTGTCCATTGGCCATGTATGCCTTTATGTCTTCTTTGGAAAAATGCCTATTCAGGTTCTCTGCTCAAATCAGATTATTGGGGGGGGGTTGGTATTGAGTTGTATGAGTTCTTTATATATTGTGAATATTAGCCCCTTACCAGATACATCACTTGAAAATATTGTCTCCCATTCAGTAGATTGCCTTTTTGTTTTCTGATGGTTTCCTTTGCTGTGTGGAAGCTCTTTATTTTGCTGTAGCCACAATTGTTTATTTTTGCTTTTGTTTCCCTTGCCTTTGGAGTCAGATCCACAAAAGTGTTGCTAAGGTCAATGTCCATGAGTTTACTGCCTATGTTTTCTTCTAGGATTTTTATGGTTTCAGATCTTACATTTATGTCTTTAATCCATTTTGAGTTTATGTTTGTGTCTGATGAAAGAAAGTGGTCCGAGTTTCATTCTTTTGCATGTTGATGTCCAGTTTTCCCAACACCATTTGTTCAAGAGATAGTCTTTTCCCCATTGTTCTTGTTTCCTTTGTCATAGATTAACTGACTATATAAGCATGGGTTTATTCCTGGGCTCTCTCTTCTGTTCCATTGATTTATGTGCCTGTTTTTGTGCCAGCACCATACTGTTTTGGTTACTACAGCTTTGTATATAACTTGAAATCTAGAACTGTGATTCCTCCAGGTTTGCTTTTCTTTTTAAGCTTGCTTTGGTTACTCAGCTTCTTCTGTGGTTCCACATCAATTTTAGGATTGTTTGTTCTAGTTCTGTGAAAAACACTACCAGTGTTTTGATACAGATTGCACTGAATGAGTAGACTGCATTGGGCACATCATCTTATCAAGGGGAGTTCTTTAACTCCCGAGAAAGAAGAACTCAGAGTTTTGCATTGCCAGAACATTCCCATTCTCCCTACAATTTGGGGAAAAAACAAATTTGCAAGGGAAGAAACCAAGGATCACAAAAAGGCAAAAGACTGTTTCCTTAGTCCCACTCCAAGATGGTGAGATAGATAGTGAATAGAGAGCATTAGTTTGGGTCAAAGAACCCAGAGACCAACCTGACTATTTTGCAGCTCCATTCCAGAGAATGGCATTCCCTGAGCACCAGTGCTTCCCAGTGCCAGGCAACAAAAGCCTTGTCAGAGCAGCTGGAGATGAGGTGATGCAGTCCCCAACCTCACCCCATCCAAACTGCAAACTTCCAAGTCTCTGTTCTACACCAAAGTACATCCATGCTTCCCTGGGGTTCTGTCTGCAGATGGAAGTGGACCAAAGAGTTTGGAGGCATCTCATCCACGTTGTGCCTGGCCCGAGGCAACTTTGCTAAGTGCTCGGGAATCATCTCATTCTTGTTCCTTAATAGCATTATTCTTCTAAAAAATGAATTAATCACAACCTCTTGAAGCTGTTGAAGTATTTTCAAACCTAAGGAGTGAACTGCCAAAAATAAAGTTGATACTGAAAGAAGACACCTTTCAGTATTGGGCCCATCCTGCGCTGTAGCATGGAGGCCACTCCCTGATCTATCAGTGTATACAGTTGCATGATGGACCTTGAGCAAGACTTGGGAGACAGAACACAAGGATCTGTTTCCTGGCTCTGCCATACAGTAACTGACCGTTAGGTGAGATTTCTAAGTCTCGGTACATTAGCTTCCTGGCACTGCCATAATAAGTACCACTAACCAGATGGCTTAAACCACAGGAATGTATTGTCTCACATGTTGTGGAGGCTGGAAGTCCAAGATCAAGGTGTCAGCAAGGTTCGTTCTTTCTGAAGATGCTGAAAAAGGATCTGGCCAGGCCCTCCTTCTCCCGGCTTCTGGTGGATACTGGCAACCTTTGTCGTCCTTTGGCTTATACAGCAAGCATTCTCAGCCTTCACGTTTATGTGGCATTCTTCCTGTGTGCACCTCTGTGCCCAAATTTCCCCTTTCAGTAAGGACACAGTCATGTTGGATTAGGGCCAACCCTAGTGACCTCATGTTAACTTGATTCTCTCTTTAAAGACCCTATCTCCTAATAAGGATACATTCTGAAGTGCTGCAGGTTGGGACTTTCATGTACAAATTTGTGGGGGTCACAATTTGACCCATAACACTTAGCTACTTCTCTTGTCTAGAAACAGGGATCACAATGCAATTCTTCCTCATATAATTGTCATGGCTGGGAGAATGCCTCACACAGGGTAGGTCTGCAGGAGGCCGTTGGAAATCTCATCTGTCTGAATGTTTGTGTATGTCTTGGTGATATCTGGGTTAGACTGAGCCCCTAGGGAGCAGGGCTCAATTGGGGCTCCCATCCTGTACGTGTCCAACACACGTGAGGAGGTGATTGACCCAATGCATTTTGATGATGGTGGAGATAAAAGGCTGGCAAGAAAAATCTGATGACAGATGAGCCAGGGCTGAAAAAAGGTTGATTCCAAGGGCTGGGGAGGAAGTGGAGGGTGAGGAACCCCTGAACACGGATAACTGGAGTGCACATTGATATAAATACTCTGGAGGGCAAGTTGGCATTATGCTAATGGGGGAGAAGCTGTGTATCTGATGCCCCAGCCATTCCACACCCAGGTATGTACTCTAGAGAAATGTTCACACCTGTGCCCAAGAGGTATGTGTAAAAGTGTTCATAGTATTGTGAACGTGAATAAATGCGATAAAGAAAAAAATATATTCATAGTACCATTGTTTGTAAGTGAAAAATGACCTAAGGGGCGCCTGGCTGGCTCAGTAGAGCACGTGACTCTTGATCTCAGGGTCATGAGTTCAAGCCCCATGTTGGGCATGGAGCCTACTTAAAACAAAAACAAAATCTAACGAAAAATAACCTAAATTTCCTAAACGTGATGTATTCACAGAGGAATAACATACAGCAGTTAAAGAGAATGAATAGGGCGATACATATCTCATGGATGAATCCCTCTAATAAATTTAAATAAATATTTAAATATAAATAAATAGGTAAATAGAAATCTGAATAAATATTGAGCAAAAAAAAAAAAGAAATTGCAGAAGGATATATGCAATGGATCAGGCAAAGCTCAATGATGTGTTCGTTAGGATACATAGAGACGCATGAGCATAAAGAGAAAAAGGACAAGGCTGGGAATGGTGAAACACCAGACTGAGGAAGAGAGTTCATCTGGGGAGGACAGGTGCCGGGGGTTGCTTCAACTAGAGTCGTAATAGTTCGGTTATTTTTTTCACCGAGGTGGCCAGTAAAAGGTATCAGTTATCCTTGACAACTTTCTGAGTGTTTGAATTACAACGCTTCTTAAAGAACCAGGACTCAATCAGCCTTGCCTAAAGACGAGGGAGAAGCTGGGGCCCCGCTTGTGGGGAGATTAAGAGCAGCTCTTGCCGCCCCTGCCCCCCCAGAATCCGGAACCCAGAGTATCCAGACCCCTTGTACGTCGGACACCTGCCACACTGAGAGGTTGAGACCCAGAAAGGGAAAGCCTCTCCTGTTGACAGGGAGGAGAGGAGGGAAGGACATTCTGAGGCTGCCCCTCTCTGTTCTGAACCTAGTTATTGGCCCACACCCCACCCCTCCAAACGGCAAAGAAATCCAGGGGAGAGAGCAGTGGGGCAGCCCCAGGAGAGGGGAGGGCACACGCACATGGGCACATGTGCCTGCAGCCCACGCATGCACCAAGCATGCAGGCTGACCCCCCCCCAACACACCCACATGCACTGGTTTTCAGACAAGCTGGCACAGACACCCTGACAGTTTACAACACTCTTACACCCCCTCGCGCTTGCAGGAGTGCGTGCGCGTGCGCGCACACACACACAGACAGACACACACATACACACACACACACACACACAAACACACTCTGATCAGGACCCCAGAGTTGGCCGTGCTGTGGAGCCTGCCACCTGCAGGCCCTGTCAAACACCCCCCCCCCTCCCATCTCTGGGAGCGCTGGGTTTTTCCAGCCGGAGCCTCACTCCCTCTACTGCAATCTCTGGAAATTGGTGTCTGGCGCCGCCGCTCCTGCACATTATTTATTGATTTCCTCTGCCCCCGGGGAGACCCTCCTCTCAGGAGAGCTGCCGCCCCTGGAGCAGGGGCAGGCGGGAAGAGCAGCTGGGCCACAGGAGGCAGAGGGGATGGAGGGAAGGACGGTTCAGCAGCCCCCACCCTGCTCATCAAGCTCGCCGAGCCCCGCAGGGGCCATAAGCACCAGGCAGGAGGCCAGGAGAGAGGAGGGAGACTCCAGGAGGAGAGGACAGGAGGCAGCGCTGGGGGACCGAGCCCCCCTGAGCCAGCAGCGCCGGCTCAGACAGGCCACCCAGTTCCTGCACAAGGACTCTGCCGACCTGCTCCCCCTGGACAGCCTCAAGAGGCTCGGCACTTCCAAGGACTTGGTGAGGCAGCCCTCTCCCCCCACCCTTCCTCTCCATCTCCCTCTGTCCTGGGGAGGGGGGTGGAGGGCTGGAAAGGACAGTCCCTAAGCCTTCGGATCCCCTCTCCCTTGCTGAGAATGGGGCAGAGCTAGTCCCAGCTAGAGGGGCTCCACTCTGACCATTCTCAGACTTTTCACTGGGGATGTTCCTATGGCTTTGGGGCTCCGGGAGACCCTGCTGGCATTGCTCAGCTTCTCCCAAATAGTCCAAGGTTTATCCTGGGGTGATGAGGAGCTGTGCTATTTAGGAGAAGAGGCTTGCAAGGACACAGGAACCTTCTGGAGCACTCATTTGCTGCTGGAAGGGCCTGGAGGCCTGGCTGGTTCAGGGCTGTGGTTTCTGTCCTATCCGCAAACAACGGATTCCCTCCTACCAGCTCTGGCCATTCACTGGGCTTTTCCCTGCAGTGGAAGCAGTAAGGGTCTCTGTCCTTTCCTGAGACCCAGGGTTTTGTCTGGCTCTTGGCTGGGCCACTGGCCTCCTGAGTACCCCCTTACTCCCTTGTAGGGAAATAGGCCCTTCCAGGCTCTTTTCCTTCCATCTCCATGCAGCGGCTATGGGCTTCAGAGGGGAGGGGGCATGTGGAGGGGGTGTGTGTAACAACAAGGAGGTGAGTGGGCCAGAGGACAGCTGCCTATACTCATGTCCCTCTGGGAGAGTGGTGAAGACCATGGGCTTTGGAGCCAGGCAGGCTGCTCGGGTTCAGATCCTGGCTCTGCCACTTCCTACCTTGGATAGGTTGCTTAATGGCTCTGAGCTTGCTTCTTCATTTGCTAAACGAGAACCAAATTAGTAGTATCTCCCTCATTGGGTTGCTGTGGGAGTCGCATATAATGGGCTTCGAAGAGTGCCTGGAGAATAGAAATCGCTATCAAAGGTCTAATTTGTATTGTTTCTCCAGCTCCTACTCCATTTAGCTCAAAAGAGAAAATAATCTCAAAGAAAGGAAGGCTTCCAAGCCCTTGTACCCTCACCCAATTCCTCGTCAGAGGATCTGAAAGGAGGCCAGTCCTACAAGCTGAGAGGCACAAAGTCAACCCTAGGGGTCTCAGCCCAGCATTAGCCAGGAGGCTAACGTACCCCTCGCTCCCTTTCCTCACCTAGCCCTACCAGATTCCTCCTAGATGAATGTTCCCCCTCCAGGAACCCAGCCGAGAGGCCAGCTGATTCCCAGCTGATTCCCAGCAGATTCCCAGCAGCTCCCAGAGAGGAAAGGTGACCAGACCAAGATCTCAGTTCAGGGAACTTCAGAGCTGCTCCCTCCTTGTGGACATGGTGAGCACAGCTGAGAAATAGGGAGAAACAGGGCAATGGGGGAGCTGGTCCTTTGGCTCCCGGTGGCTAGGACCTCAAAGGCTCTATGGTTTGGAGACCATCCTACAAATTTCTGGCCCTGGAGAAGAGGCTCTATTAACACTACCATCCCAGAATGGCTGGGTCCTGAGATCTGCCTCAGGACCTCCCGGATTGATCTCAAGCAGTTACGTTGTGTGGCTTTGGGAGTGAAGACATGGCAGCCTGGGAGAACCCCACTATCTCCCTCCCTAGGATAACTCTGGAGCAAACTGCACAGCACTGGGGAGCCTGAAGCCTGTACTCATAGTGGGAAAGGCGGGAGGAGAGCTGGGAACGGCAGGGCTGCTCTTTCTGGCCAGTCCCAGGGTTCACTGCCCTTTTCCCAGAGCTGGGTCTCCTGCTGGCAGCCTTGTTGGCAGGAGCAGCTGGCCTCAAGGGCCTCATTAAACCAAGGGTAGAGAAACAGTCCCAGGTTCCCAAGAAGTGAGGGCAGGTGGAGAAGCACGTGTGCAGCCTGGACAGAAACAGTCATTCTTCAACAAACATTTACTGAGCGCCTACTATATGTAAAGCTAAGCCTTGGGATATAAAGACCTGACCTCACAGGCTCTCCAGGCTAATGGGGGAATTAAAATCCACAAATTCCATCTGTGAGAAGCATGACAAAGGGAGCTAAGAGAAGGGGTGCTGGGCCGAGCCCGGTGTGCAGAATGAAGAGTTCAAAGAAGGGGCGCTTGGGTGGCTCAGTGGGTTAAAGCCTCTGCTTTCGGCTCAGGTCATGATCCGAGGGTCCTGGGATGGAGCCCCGCATTGGGCTCTCTGCTCGGCAGGGAGCCTGCTTCCTCCTCTTTCTCTGTCTGCTTCTCTGCCTACTTGTACTCTCTGTCTGTCAAATAAATAAATAAAATCTAAAAAAAAAAAAAAAAAAAGAGTACAAAGAAGTCAGAGAGGTCTTCCTGGAGGAGGCAAACCACACATTAATTGCAGGATATGTATGGAATTTCAGACTTAAATACAAACCTCTCTCCCAAATAAAGAGTAGTTCTGAAAAAGGATGTGGAACCAGTTATCCAGGCTGGCTTAGAAAAAGAGGACAAAGAGGAGTCTCGGGGTGGCGGGGGTGCTGAGCAGGAGCCAAGGTGTGGAGGCAAACAGCAGCATGCTGTGAGCAGTACAAACAGGGGCATGGGAGCAGCAGATGTGCCAAGTGGGGGATGAGGCTAAAGACCAAGCGGTGGCCAGGTCCCCTGGGCTGTGCATCACCATAGAAAGTTTGGGCTTGGGGCGCCTGGGTGGCTCAGTGGGTTAAGCCTCTGCCTTCGGCTCAGGTGATGATCTCCGGGTCCTGGGATCGAGCCCTACATCGGGCTGTCTGCTCAGCGGGGAGCCTGCTTCCCCCTCTCTCTCTGCCTGCCTCTCTGCCTACTTGTAATCTCTGTCAAATAAATAAATTCTTTAAAAAAGAAAAAAAGAAAGTTTGGGCTTTATCACGTAAGCGACAAGACGCGGCTGTGCTTTGATCGATTTTAAACAGGAATAACAGAGTTACTTTTTTTGTTTCACTTTGGAGCTCCTCAGACTTCGACTTATACGCACAAATCATCAGGGCATCTTGTTAAAAGGAAGCTTCTGATTCAGTAGGTCTCTCTTCCAAGTGACATTAAGGCTACCGATCTGAGAACCACACTCTGAATCGTGAGGGTTTTAGATTCATCACTGGCCTCGAGCAGGTGTATGTGGGAGGAAACAGTACTGGAGGCAGGTTCTTGGGAATTTAGGGAAGGTCTGGTGACCCAGACAGCTGGGGTGAGGCTTGAACAGAACCAGTAAGACAAAGCCGGGGTGGACTGGATAAACACAGAAGACAAAGCTGGTGGAACTTAGGAAGTGAAGTGACCAGACAGAGTGAAGGTGGTTTCAGGTGGGGGAGAGTTCAAGCAACCTAGTTTTGAGGATGTGACTTTTGTTTTCTGTTGTTACTGATTTTTTTTTTCATCACATCATCAACCCTGGGATCTGCAGTACATGGAAGGGTGAGGTCAAAGGGGTAACAGAAAAAAAGTCAAAAATAATGTGTTCTAGACCAGCGATAAAAACTCCCCAATCATACTAGTTTCTGACACGTCCTGGTCAGTCTAATCTAGAATGGACTGTTCTCCTGTTCCCATTTCTTCATTGCTGAGCCATCCCCTGGGGTCCCCCGAAACTGGCATGATGTGATCTTGGGGTCGAGTCTGCTATAACGCTCTGACTGCTGGGATCCTTGGGTACGCTCCTGCCGGTTTCTTACTCCAGTGAGATGCAGGACTGGGGTGGGGTTGGGAGGGGGGACATTGTGGGATGACTCCCAGGTGGGAGAACTGAGTGGCCTGGATACTCGGGTTTAGACCCGTCTGCCTTCTTTATTTTGGGATGGAGCCAGCAGCCGCACAGCGTGATCCAGAGACGCCTGGTGGAAGGAAACCAGAGTCGGCTTCAGGGGGAGTGTCCCCTGGTGCAGGCCCAGATTCACGGCCAGGAGAGCAGGAGGAAGACCAGCAAGACAGAGACTCCGGCTCTTCTGGTCAACTGCAAGGTGAGAAGGCCTCCCCACCCACCACGGCACAGGCTTTCGTGAACAGTCCTGCCTGTGACCGGCTCACTTCTGCCAGCCCCCTTTCTCCCCTGGGCGGTGGGGGAAGGAGGGAGGGAGAAAAGGCACTTCTCCCCGCGGCCTGAACCAAAAAATGGAATCCTGTACATTCTTTACTCTCTGCCTCAACCCATCTTCTCTCCGTGCTGTTCCATCTGTCATGGTCATTCCTCCTTCCCTTTATCAAATATAATCTTCGAATGTGAATGTGTAAATGCTCTTCAATGTCTTGTACGTCCGTGGACCACCGTGCACGTAGGCAACCTGCAACCCCACCCCCCCCCACACACACTCAGAAAAACCTCGTGCGTTCCAAGGTGACAGCCTTTTATGGTCCCTCCTCCTTGAAGCCCTCTCTGACTTGCCCAGGAGGAAACAGCCTCTCCTCCCTCTTGTCTAGGGCATTTCATGCCCAGTCCTTTCGTAGACCTTAACACTTGCTAGCGTGCACTAGTTACTGACACTTCCCTTATGCGCAAGCTCAGCATTTACCCCCGTGCCTCCCAGCCACAAATCTCACACACAGCAGGTGCTCAACAGATGTCTGGGATGAGAAAATTGCGTGCATTTGGGGTATCCAATCGTCACCCAATATGTCTGCGTATATCCAGAAGAAAGCTAACCAGTTTTCGTTTCTGTGGTGAGCTTGGCGCTTACCCACATCTGAAGTTCCCCGCAGGGCGGCCTGGTCTCACCCCCTCCTCTATGCCTCATCCAGACCTCTCTAAGCCAGGCCCTCAGCTCCCCAAGAATTCCTCTCCACGAGCAGATCTCCACTTCTGGCCAAGTCATTCCCAAGGGTATGGACTCACCACAGGCAGCTCTACTTCCTTTTTTGATTCCTTCCTCTAAGAGCTGGTGTGGCCTCAACTGGACGAGTGCCGTAAAAATCACTTGGAAAGATTCGGTTCTTTCCTTTCACTCGTTTTGGAGAGGGAATCATCCGAGGCTGGGAAAGGTGAAGGATCCAAGCCCAATCCATTTTCCCGGGGGGGCTCACGGAGTCCCCCATGACCCTCTTTCTCAGTGCCGAGACCAGGAGCTTCGGGTGGCCGTGGACACAGGCACCCACCACAACCAGATCTCTGCTGGATGCCTCAGCCGCCTGGGGTAAGAGCGCAGCCCGAAAGAATGGATAGCGGAAAAAATTCAGAAAATATTCTGAAATGACATAGTAGTAGTTGCATGACTCTATGATACACTAAAAACCACTGCATTTATAAAAGGGTGACTTTTGGGGTATATCTAGTATATATCAAGAAAGCTGTAGTTAAAAGGGGGGGGCTCTGATAGCAAAGACAAGGATTTCGACCCCACATGGGGCCAAGGTATTGGATGAGAACCCAAGTGTGGTGGGGAGGGGTATCAGCTGACTAAGGGGCTGGGGCTGGGACTGGGGGCTGTGGGGGCCATAACCTTTGCTTCCCAACCACAGGTTAGGGAAGAAGGTCCTCAAAGCCCCAGGTGGGGGCCTGGCACCTGGACCCCCCACCCAGGTGGAGCAGCTAGAGCTACAGCTGGGCCAGGAGACAGTGGCCTGCTCGGCCCAGGTGGTGGGTGAGTCCTCCCTTCATTCCCAGCCCTCTTCGTCCTCTCCCACCTTCCTCTCCTGGCTGGGGCAAAGGCTGGCACCCTACAGGGTGTCCCCAGTCCCTGGGTCTGGATCCTCAGACCTGCGGGAGGGGGAGGGCAGACAAGCAGCGAGCATTGACAGGAGGGCACTGGGACTGCTGGGGGCCCCTCCAGCTCCTTCTGTTTTCAAATGATTCCCGCAGACGTGGAGAGTCCTGAGTTCTGTCTTGGACTACAGACTCTACTTTCCCTCAAGGTAAGGAGGATGTTAGCACTTGACCTGCACTTGGGGGCCTGGGAAAAGGAGGTTAAAAGGCACAGGTGTGGAAGCATGGATCAGCTTCTGATAAGGGAGACATGGAGATGTCGTGATTTCACCTTTGCTTCCTTAGAGGTTTCTCATTTGCCCACAAGCAAAAAATAAGAACCAGATCCCACTGCCCACCTAACCCCCACCCCCAGCCCAGGGCTCCAGGCAAATGGAAACCAGGGGGAAGAGCAAGGAGTAGGGGGAGGCTGTGGGAAGTGGGAGGGCCCCCGAGAGTGGGTCCCTGCTGAGAGACGCTTGTGTCCCCGCCCTGTCCCCACAGTGCTGCATAGACCTGGATCGTGGAGTACTGCGCCTGAGAGCCCCCTTCCCAGAGCTGCCCTTCCTGCCTCTGTACCAAGAGCCTGGCCAGTGACTGCTGAACCAGTCTGTCCCCAAGGGGAAGGACCTTGCCTTGGGGAAGAGCTGGATGGGGGAATGGGGCATCACTACAGCCAGGTAGCTGGGGACGGCCGAGTCTGTCCCTCCTGTCGCCACCCTGCCCCTGCCGTGCCATTTCCCTCAGTCGGCCGCATTTGTCTCCTCTTCTCAGCCACTGCCCAATCCTCCAGGAGTCTTCCAGAGAGAGGGCCCATGACCTCAGGGGCCTGGCTTCTCTCTTCCCGTTCTCCTCCAAGTCAGGACTGCGGAAAAGGACGTTAAGCGTGGCGTGGTGGGAACTGGCCCGAGTCAAAGGCCGCAGCCTGCACCACCCTTCCCCCGTCCCCCGCCGTCCACTCTTCCCACCCTTCAGTGGCCTTCACTCCTGCGTCCTGCCCCCCTCGGCTTCTGGGGCTCGTTACCTCTCCCAGCTAGACTGCCGCACCTCACCCGGGGCCCTGTCCCTGCTGACACCCACCTTTCTCATTCCGCACACGGCTGCTCACAGTGGAGTGGGGGAAGCACAGGCAAGTGAGTACTCCGGTACAACGGAAGGTGAGGACGGCCAGGCTGGGGGCTTCCTTAGTTACCTTTTCTGAGGTTGCCAACGTCTGAGTCAGTAATCGCCCCGTGCCAGACCTTGGATGGACCTCCACTACTTCCCCCGGCAGTTCTCCTCCTCCCCTTTTTACACATCGGGACCCTGAACTCTGGGGGGTGGGGCGGGGGGGCGTTGTCAGGAACTGCCCCACAAGGTGGAAAGGAGGGCAGGCGCTCAGTCCTCAGCCTTCACCTAACCAGGATTCCTTCTTGTTTCTGGAACTGTTCACCTCATTAGACCTCCCTTCCCCTCATCTCTGCCTCCTGGGCTTGAGCTTGTCCGATTTTGGAACCCGTGGCTTTCTATCCCCCAGCAGGCTGTGACCCAAAGGGAAAAGACAGGGAGGCTTTTCGTTTTCATTGTGAAGAGAGGAACTCAGACCTTAAGAAGCCAGACCCCTGGGGGCGCCTGGGTGGCTCAGTGGGTTAAGCCTCTGCCTTCGGCTTAGGTCATGATCTCAGGGTCCTGGGATCGAGCCCCGCATCGGGCGCTCTGCTCAGCGGGGAGCCTGCTTCCCCCTCTCTCTCTGACTGCCTCTCTGCCTGCTTGTGATCTCTGTCTGTCAAATAAATAAATAAAATCTCT